ACAAATGTTTTCCGGTGACCAGCGTGCAAATCCTAGTTGTAAACACTGCAAGTGGAAATTCGTGATGCATTACGTAAGAGACAATGTTTGGGCTTTCTGAAAAATATTGACTCGGCTCGAAGTGAGTTATAAACTGAACGTGGAAGACAAGTGAATATTTCATGATGAGTGGATAATTACAATTTCAAAGTTACAAACTGTTGTTACAATTTAATCTTGTTTTTAAACTCAGTCCATTTCCTCCACCTCATTTTCTGTATAACTGGTCCATGTATCAGAGCTCTCTCCCACACCGTAAATAGAAGCAACAGGTTCTTCAAAAAACTTGGTGACTACTCACGGGACCAAGTGGTCTCGCATCCCAGATGTCAATGATCTCAATTGACCGTGCGATGAGGACAGTGGATCTGGGTATTTACTCTTCACACAGGAGTCGAAACATTCGCAAATTAAAATTACTTTTGTTTGCATGACATTTTCTACAATTTCTGATGTAAGAAATTGTGTATGTCATTGGGCGTAATTTTTAATTTTGAGTGTTCAGTATCACACAAGAGATTTTAATGTTTCTGTTCTAAATAGTCGTGGTTTGTTATGCTAATATTTAACAGCTTAGACAACAATTTGTGTAATGTGTGGCGTCAAGGCCTGGAATTAAAGAATCCCTGCTCTTTTGCCACAGGATGATTCAGAAATTGTTGGGATCCACTGGCGGAGATAGGCAATGCTCAAAGAAAATTTATACTTGTCATGACAATTTTATTAACCTCATACCTATATGAAAATGTTGATATTTCCTGAAAAACTTGGTTTGTGTTTCGTGAAATACAGTCACAAGAGGAATTCAACAGACCATTTGATGCAGTCATGAATTGTTGCAGGGACTGAGCTGCAGAATCAACTCAATTACGAAGGATTTCTGGTGCAGCAACATGAATTCAGTCTTCATGATATGATAGAAGAACAAAATAAACTTCAAGAGCACATGTCTCATCTTTTTCAGCAGGTCACGGAACTCCACGCAGAGAGTATGTATGCTTTTATTCTATTCAAGTACAAAGTCAAAGGGTGCAGGCTATAAATCACATCAGTATGATATTCTGTCAATTACGATGTTAATGTATGTCTTTCTAGATGTCCAGATGTGCCCCAGACCCCTCTTCCAGTCACCTTCAGTAATTGTTCGTTACTTCTGTATTTTGGATGACTTTGGCTGTTGGAGATGGGAAGGCAGGGGGAAATCGGAAAACTATGAATATAATTGTAACAAGAATTCCCCAGATTTAACCCACTCATAATTTCTCGAAAAAATAATTTTATAGTCATTCTGAGACATTTTAAATTTACTAGATTTCAGAGAATCATTTTAGCTTATATTATGATTCTGTCCTGGCAAACTTGATTTGTTTTGCTACAAAATGACACCTCAACCGATTCTTTAAGCTTTCTGATTAAATTTCTATACACTTTCAAAGTTGTAAAGTCCTTTCAGAATCATCCTGTATTATCATTCTGTCCTGCATTCAGGGGATGAATTATGTTCGTTTACTTTG